TTTAAATTCATTGTCTATATATTTTTATTAATTTTAATTAATATTTAAGATATTTCTGAAATAATAATGAGAAGATACGAAAAAAAATATGATTATTGTATAACATAACACTAACAAATAAAAATTTAGTGATTTACAATCTAAAAAATGTAAAACAAAAAAATGAAATAAAATTACAATGTTAATTTTTTTTTTTTATCAAGGGAAATTTTTGGAGGGAAGAGATTGAATCCAATTTATGAGACTGAGTAATACACACCGTTACCAAGCAACCTATAAAGTCAGGTGAGTAATTACAATGTTAATTAGGTTAGGAATATTAATTAGTTCATGATGAAATCTGGGTAAGTTTTTGTTTAATTTATTCGTCTAAAATGATAAGAAGCAAAATATATAAAATATTTGAGAGTTTAGAGTTGATCTACAGGGGAAAGATACAGATACCTAGCTAGAAATAAATCCTCTCCATCCCGTTCTAGCTCTTTGATGACATTCTTTAGAGTTGCAACTCAATCTTCTTTCTACGAAACTAACAAAAAGGACAGTTGAGTTAGTGTTCAACAAATATGGTGCAGAGGAAGAGGTCTACTGAAAATAGCATTATAAAAATTAAGGAATGAATTATAGAGCGTAAAGAAAAAATGTTAAATTTTAGTTTTTGAATTTTACAGTTTTTTATATTTTTTGTCACTTAAATTTTTGATGTATTTTTTTATTCTATAATGATAAAAAAATATATTTTTTATTTTTTATCAACTTAATTCATTAACTTTATTTATATATCCACATTTTTAATTTTTAAAAACGGTATAGCCATTAGTTAGTGTTGGACAAAATGTTTCGTTGTTGTTGGTAACATCTTTTCACCAGTAATGTGGACCCCACTCTGGGAGTGTGGTGTCCACTCTCCAGTGACTTGACCATACTTTTTTACCACACCATCTGTCACGTTGATTATCATGTACCGAAAGGGTAATTTGGAGATTTTAAAACCGCGTGGCAACAGTAGTAGTTACCTTGATCCACCCCTATATTATATAGGTTTAAGTACCATTTTGGTCCCTCAACTTTACACTTTGGTACCAAAATTGTCCCTCACCTTTAAAAAGTACCAAAATTATCCTTGAACTTTCATTTTTGGTACCAAAATGGTCCTTCCGTCAGTTAAATGACAGGTGTCACGTTAACTTGCCAACAAATCATTTTTTTTTTTGCTTAACTAATGACATGGAAAAAAAAAACATAGTTGTCAGTTTTTTTATGAGTTGGCATTTTTTAAATTAAAAATAATAATTTTTTTCCATCCACGTCATCTCGTCTTCATCTTTCACTTTCTCTTTGCTTTGCCTTACCTTTTCCCATACATCTGCAAAGCCAGATCTGGGTTCTCTCTTAATCTTCATCTTCTTCCTCTTTTCCTCTTCCCTGCTCATCCTTCTTCTTTCTTCTTCTTATTCTTTCTCTCTCCCTTCTCCCTTCTCCCTTCTTCCTCTCTCAAACCCAAATATAAGTTTTTCTCAAAACCAGATCTGGATTTCATCACATAAATTAAAACCCACTTCCTTTATTCAATTTACAAAATGAATAAATGTCTATTCACCTACATTTTCTTTTTTGCAAAATTGAACCAGGCTTCCTTCTTCTTTATTCTTTCTCTTTCTCTTCTCCCTTCTTCTTCCTCTCCAGATCTGGGTTTCAACAAAACCCAGATCTAGGATGGAACCGAACTGGTTAGGACTCCCGACCCAAATCGAGATCGAAAGCTTACTTCTCGAGAATTTCAAGGACCTGCAACTGTTTCTATTCTCATCCTACCAAGTTCGACTTAAGGACGGCAATGTGTCTTTTGCCGTGGCGATAAGGGGAATCTCTACTTTGGCTACCTTTGCCGTCATGGTGCTCCGGGTCTACTTCGGAATCGACCATACTCAATCGTCGGTTGGATCTGATGTTGACTCTTAAATCTAGTTATAATCTAACAAATCCTTCAATTTTCTCTAATCCCAAATCAAATTTGTTAGGTTTTCAATCCAGATCTGAGTTTTCCTAAACCAAAA